CTCTCTCTCTCTCTCTCTCTCTCTCTCTCTCTCTCTCTCTCTCTCTCTCTCTCTCTCTTTTTCTCTCTTCGTGCTGTATGATACGGTTCGCTCAAAACCTTGTGATATAATACGCTGTTCCTACATTTGACGCGTCCTATACTGTCGTGTTAGCCTTATGCAGTGTTTTATAATCGATTAATATAAAATTATATTATAATATATAACATAGTATTTCGAACAGTTACAAAACGTTAGAATGTCATGTAGATTATTGTACATTTTATCCAATTAAGCGAATATAAATTTATCAAATCACAATTACGTGTGCTTAATGAATCTAGTCTGAATGAAGAAGTCGTGTAAACATAGTTATTGGCAAATCTTTTGGGATAATCTTTTGCACGATCCGTTGTCGACGAGAACGACAACGACTTATACGCTTACACAGATTAAGCATTCGTACACTTTCATTACGGTGGGAAGCCGGAAATTGGCAGTTTAAGACTGACAGAGAGAGAGAGAAAGAGAGAGAATTGGTTTGTATTTCTTTCTCACTCTATCTTACGGTGACATCTTTTTGCGGAAAAGCTAATAAGCGTTATTCTAGGAAGAGCAGGATATCGCGCATGTGTGGGAAAGAGGAAGACGCACGTGCGCTGAAGCGATTGTAACGTTGTCGTGTTTCTTTTTTCTTCTGTTTTTTGCAATATTTGAAATAACTGAATATATTTTTCCTCAATTTCTCTATTTAACTCTTCATTTCAGTTTGGCTTGTTTACGATAAATTGTTACACATGTCGTAATGCACCTTACGAGAATAGGATGCAAGTTCTTGCTTAGAAGGAAATAAGCGCGATATACTTTATACGATATTTATTGTAATAAATAATTTCTCTTGACATTATACAACGCGTCGCGATAATAAATTCATAAAACATTACAAACCTCAAGCAGTGATTAATGTCATGCGTAGTGTACCTTACAACAGTTAATTATGCTGCGTTGCGTGTGCGCGATTACCTTAGCACACATTAATCAGTTTCGCAATACAAACATTTTTTCCGTCGTTCTCTTTTCTCCCGGCGTTTTATGTTTTTATGTTTGAAAAAGTTTATTAAAATTCTCGTACGACCCGTTGGATCGCGTTAACAGACACGTTATATTTTTCCGTGCAATTGTTGCGTGTCAGTAAGTTCAGAACAAGTTACACGTGAACTTCATAGAATTCCGTGAATGGAGAATTTTTTTGGATTCATTTTTTCCATGTTTTGGCTTGCAGATTTAGCAATTCGCGTCGTTGTTAAAGCGTCACGCAGAAACGCATTGTGACAGCCGGAAATCGCGGAGATTCATATTTGCACAAATCTATTATACATATCATACATACGATTTTGGTGCAACATACATATCTCCAGATCTTTCTTCTGACATCATACGTTACCAGATATTATTGTGAATATGAGTCTTGTCGAACGGATGTGTGCACGATTAGTCAACTTTTGCTCGTTCTTTCACACAAGAATCGAAACCGTCATCATCTTGGTGATTGAAAATTGCTCAATGAAAATATTCAATGTTGGGAATATATGGAATGTACTTTGTTAGTTGCCATGTCTACAGTATGAGTTATCGCGCGTATTCGTTAACATTAAGATCCGACATCATCAAAATTCTGCCGGTTTCGCTTCTCGCTCACGAGTACCTTTCGTAATGAATGACGAGTCGTGTCGCTCTATAAATGATATTGGCAGTTCTTAGATTTCGATTTAATGCTTGTGATTCAAAACATCGATAATACTTGACAGTTGTTCTCAGAAATATATCTTTCGGCGTACAAGAAAGTGTTACCGCGCGCGATTCTGCGTCTGGTCACTGATGAATCATGTAAACACGTACGCGTAATCGTGTGATCTTCGATCGTCGTAACTATACGCGAAATTTCTGTACAAGACTAGGATAGTTGAGAAATTAAATTATCGTTCGCAGTTCTACCGCTTTTCGCTGAATTCAAGTCCTGAGGAGATCCCATCTCCTCTTAGGCTTAATAATATTTTCAGGATTTTGTGCCTTCCGCGCCAATCCTCTTTGATGTCTACTAATTAAATATATACGTGAAAATATCATAGGATATAATTATAATATATATATACATATAAACACATGTACATTAATGCTGTTATCGGAGACTAAAAACGAAAAGTATTTCGTTCTACTCGATAAGAGACGCAATTTTTATTTGGTTTTTCTTTTTTGCGAATTATTTACGTATCCAGGATGCATTTTCGAATTTACTCTAACTAATAAACTATCTTGCAATAATATCTTATTTGTCTTTATGTATTTATTACTAACTAATAAATCAAGTTTAGTGCGGGATATACTCGAATAATTTTATTTATGCATTTTATTTTTCTTGAATAAGAAAGGATTACTTTGTCCTTCAAAATTTTGCTCAATGTCGATTATTTCGTTTTTAGTCTCTGGTTGCGATATATTTATCGATATATTTATCGATGTCGCGACTAAACGATAACGAAAGAAACTAAGCCTGATACATCTCAGAGGTTCGATAATGATTTAATTATAACGTTGATTTTGCTCCCAAGCTCGAACACTTTTAAACGGGCTTGACTCACGTGGTTGAGTCTTCACTTCGAGGTACAGATAAAAATATGTGACGATCGTTTATATTTCACGCAATCTCTCTCGAGATATATTTCGTTCGATTAATTATGAAGTCCATTCGAAAGGTGTGCGAGAGGG